TGTTGTTTCCGTCGAGTCAGGCTTGATCTGGTTTCTTTCACTCTGTCTCATTAGAGCAGACATTCACACAAACACGACATTTCTGAGAAAAGATGACATTTGCCTGCGCCTTTGTTTGTCATTTTCTCACTGTTTGAGACTTTATTGTGTTTTAAGCTTCAGCTATTTTCAGAAATAGATTTTTTTTTTTTTTTTTTTTTTTACTCACAGAGAAAAACAAAATGGAATGAATAATGAGAGCAGAGCCAGATTTTCATTGCTCACTCCCCCATCTGTGGCGTTCTGGACGAGGACGGCCGCTGAGATGAGGAGGCAGAGGGTTAACGAATTAACAAACAATCAAAGGAGTGATCGTTCAAAACATACGTCCTCTACGATTCAAAATCTGTACATAAATGATCAAATATGATCTTTTTAATCGTCTAAATCTTGTGTCACCTTCACCACAGACATCCATTTCCATCCTCAGGCATATTAAAGACGTTATTCAACATTTTGGAGTGTATGTTAAGTTTCTAACCCTCTCTGAGGAAATTTCCTCAGCTCTGTGGTCCAATTTGAATCAAGGATTAACTGATTAGATTTAGTAATCAAAGGTCACTGTGAACACGCTGGAGAGTCTGATAAAGGCAAGAGCAAAGGCAAAATGTCATCATACTGACATATCGGGTTGTGGATTATGATGATGCTGTTTTTGGACCATGCATGAGTCGAAGGGAGAATCTATATTTCAGCCGTTTCTACCCTGGGAATGGGTCAGCGTGGTAGCAGCTTGTCAATCAAAGGTGGGTAAGACTTATTTTATAATTTAAGATATTACAAACTCCGGTATTAAACTTTGCATAAATGCCTGTAGCATTCATTTAAACTGTTATACTTACAGCACAGTAACATCACACTCTGGTGACGGCGAGCCAAGTGTTGTGCATCACATATTAGGAGATACAAAGTGGTGCAAGAAAGAGACAGCAGCTGCCGAATCGATGCAAACAAAGGCCGAAAAAAATAAAAAGCACCAAATGTTGACTCTAGTAATTGGTCTACCCCACTTTCGGTTTGTGACTCAAAGTCCCACTCCAATTGATTTCTTTTTTACAGCTTGAAGTGTTTTTAGTGGTCTTTAAATTATGATTATGAAGTTTTTAGCCAAAATCCCGTTACCGGCCTTATTTTCAATTACTTTGCTTCTGCAGAGCTCCAGGAGCTCATTAGCAATTCGCCTCTGAGTCATGGGCGGAGACAGCGCTGCGCTGCGCAGGCTAGCTGCTCGCTTGCAGACAAACATTGCTGGTATAGTAGGAGTAGCAGGTAACATAAGAGCTATTAAGCTCTCAGACACTAATGCCTTTGGGGACATGATGAAAGTTTATGTCATAATTAGCTTTCTTACAAGCACTGCAGTCTGCTAACAGACACACTTGTTCCACGATTGTCCTCTCTATTGTCCTCTTTGTTGTCCTCTCTATTTCTCTGAGTGTGGCCTGCATATTGGGGCTCCAGGGGCGGAGCTTGGAATTGTGACATAGGAAATCTCACTGAATCTGAACCTGCCATTTGGGTCTGCGAGAGATTCACAGCTATCTGAATGCAGAAATACCCAGAAATGCAATTTCGCACTTACATTTCTCATGATAAGTCCTGTAGCGTCAGAAAAATTTCATATTAACATGTAGACAACATAAAAAAAACATGATTTTCATGAGAGCAGGTCTTTAATGCCGCTGTTGCATTTGTTCATTCTGGTCTTCAGGAAAGACAAGTTTCAGGCACCTTTGCGTTTGCTTCTCCTCAGAAACCGAGTCGAGGTATTCTGGTTGCAGCTGCATGACTGAAACTCTCAAGTATTGAAAGAATCTCTTTAATTCACAGAGCTGAGTACAACCTTTTAAGCAGCTGTTTGTAAGTGGTATTTAATTAAATCAAAGAGCATCCATTTGCAGTGTTTTTTTTTTTTTTTTTTAAGACATTAGTCTTCAAATCCGTGAATGAGAACCCTCAAGGCCTTTGTAATCCTGCTTTGTTGAGACACGGTGGCGAACGAGAACAGCTCCGCTCTCACCTCGGTGTATCTTCGTTTATATCTACAGATAAAGAAAACTCTGCTTCCTCTGCTGTCCTCCTTAAATGCTTTGTGTTTCAGCAACAAGGAAAAATCAATTTAGAGAGCATCCACATGGAAGGAGTGGAGTCCACTCAGCTGACATCTCAATGGTACGGCTCAATCACTGAGGGGAATTAGTTCGCCGGCGTTTGAAAGACATAGTGCTTGATGATTTTCCCACTTTCACAGAGTCAAACTGGCTGCAGACGCATATAGGAAAAAAAAAAAACTCATGTGCAAACACGTGGATTTATTCCAGCTCACAAATTGTACATGCACGCACTTATCTACGCCTTCAATTCTCTGTACCTCTGATCTGCCAGCAAATCTCCGCATGCGGTACATAAATAGCTGCAATGTCAAAGTAAATGTGGGAAAAAGTGGTTGCCGGGAGTCAGACCCCCACTCTCCTGTTCTGCAGAATGAAACTGGTCCAATAAATTGCTTTCCAGAGGGATGAAATGTACAGTACACCTCGCTACGCCACACAAGATTGCTCACACGTAGAATACACTCCTGTGATTAATAACCCCACAACTTCTAGGCTGTTTCCAAGTGCTTACCAGATCAAATATGCACTTCTCTGCCCCCTTTTTTTTTCTCTTTACACACTTCGGGCGTTTTGTTTGGCAAGCACACGAGACGGGAACCATTAAACCAGACTGCTACTGTAAGTCCATTAGGCCGCTCCATGCATACATCACCATAAATTTAACAGCAAAGAGCCGCAGATGAGGCAACTTTGCAGTTCTTAAAAAGTGACAACTCTCTGCCGGGGTAATCAGGAAGCAATGACCTAAATCCCATCACGGTTTTACGATCACTCACAGTCCATCAAATGCTGAGCTTTATTACATTTGATGGAGATACCAAACACACACTGGAAGTACTGCTGTGTCACAGGAAGTTGGATTAGTTGATGTATTTGTGGATTTTCTCCATGACAGCTGCATCCGAAATTGATTATCTATTACAACCTGTCTTTACTTTGAATGTGCTGAAATAGTCATGTATTTTATAACCCTTCAACAGCTTCCAAGACGACAGAAAGGCTGCCAACATCCCTGGTTGTTGCCAAACGCTCAAATAATGTGATATTCCGCTTTGATTTTATTCCTATAAGTGCAGAAATTATATCAAGGATTGCTCTGATCGGTGCTTTTTACAGCGCAGCATAATTCTGCAGAGCAAACTGATAACACTCCTCCGTAAAAAAGCGGCAGACAAAAGTGATTTGACACGGATTGCTCCATGTAAATAAAAAGGAGCCTGGGACTTGTACGTCAACAAAAGCAGCAAACAACAGGTGCTGACGGAGACTCTCCATCATGTAACAGCTCTTAGCAATCAGGACACAGCGACTTGATTATGTCCTACCTCCCTGCCAACCTCCTCTCCTGGGGAATGCTGTTGCTAGGGGCTTTCTGCTCACAGATGACCGGAGTCTTTTCATAATGGTCATCCCGCCAAGCATGTGATCCTCCTCTGGTGTAACAGGATCTGGGCTCAGAATAATACGTCTGTGTTCCCACTTCTCATCACAGAAACAATGATGTCCACACAGTTCTTTCTGCGGGAGGAGATGCTCATTCTGGAGCTCCAAAAACTGCAGCTCTCCAAAGAGTTTCAGAGGAATACCGAATCCTGGATTAAGTAGGTGAGCTTATTGGATGCACCTGTAAAATTTGTGCAGCTATGAATCAAACCTTTGTGAAGCACTTTTAGGCGCACTTTCATCACCTTTTCGTCATCAAAATAGAGAGCCACTTTGTTATCGATCCAACAATTTAAATGCAGACAATGTTTAACCCTGTAGATGGCGCTCAAAGAAGCAAGCGACTGCTTAAACGAACAAAATTGAGACAAGTGAGGCAAACCAATCTAGCAGAGCCACTGTGTGCTCCTTAAGGTCATAATCATGCGCGTTAAGATTCCTTAAAGGCCTGGTTGCCTCCAGGATAACTCCCTGGAGCTACACCGCCGCATAAAAAGTGGACATTGCTGAACTTCATACAAGGACTTAAAAGTCGGACGTTAGGTTGGCACAAAGTTTAAGGAATGGTAATGCCGGTCTGGGGTCCACCACAGCAACTCAACCGCTGTTTGAACCCCCAAAGGGTGTCTGGGCTCGACCTTAGAGGAGGAGATCCTTAAAAGGAGTCAGATAAGGTGGTTTGGGCATTTGATGAGGAGGTGTTCTAGATATGTCCAACTGGGAGGGCACCCTGGGGTACGCCCAGAGCTCGATGGATGGATTCCCACCTGGGAACACCGACTAGTTCAGACTAGTCCACATACAAACTGGGCTTTAAGTTAGTGAGGTTATCCACCACAGGGACTGAAAATTTTCACCTTTTTTTTTTCACAAGTTGCTCTTAGCAAATGTTGTTTGCATGTAATCAGCATGATTCAGGATGGTAGGCTACTGCAGAAGACACACAACATGCATACGCCACGGTGTTTGGCGTGATGGCCTGATTACACATTCTTGCCACCTACACACTGATCTGGTGAGCTCCTTTGGTTGCATTGAAACCATCTCAGCATTGTCACGAAGACAGAAAACATTCAAAAACACCTCTACCGTGGCAACAGCCGGTTTTTAAAAACTGTTTTTGTGGATGTGGTTTAATACCTACAAGCTTCAGTGGGACAGTGAAGATAAAAAAGGAGAATTATCTGACAGATTGGTTCATTTACACCAAGCAGAAAGCTTATTGAGTATTTTGGAGTTTAAACAGTTTGAGCTGATTCGTGTCGGAAAATAGATGATGTGGACAAGATTAAACAGTGTATCTGAACAACGGAGATAAATAATCTTACTTACAAGCTCAGTTGATGTTTGCAGGACTGGGTTTCGTGATTTGTTCCTGCCACACTGTGACTGTCAGCGGTTTGTCAGAGTAGAAGCCTGTGGGAAAAGAAAAATAGTCAGAAACTTTGTGGTTATTTTAAAATATGCTTTAACAATTTTCCTGAAAATTAACCCCTTGCAAGCAAAGGTGGGGAGATCATCTTGTACGTCATACGGGGTGGCAGGAGATGAGCCAGCGCTGTTTTCCGGGGCTGGGAGAGATGCTTAAGCTAGCATCCACAAGAGAATGTTTTGTCCACAGGGGGCGACAAAGTTAACACAAACATTATTTTGAAGAATGCAGATATTTTCAATTGGGGTGCTGAACGTTCAGGGACAGTTCGGTGCTCCATGACCAGATTTTTTATTGTTTTGTCAAAACCATCCTGCGCAAAAATGGCAGGGTATGAGCTGCAAGCGCTCGCGACCAGAATAACAAAATAAATGGTGCTGACATGCCGCGCCTCTGATCTACGTGGCGTGGCATTTGTGAGTTAGAGAGAGGAGCAAGTGGAGAGATACATTTTTCTTCTGAGCAAGGAAGTCATGTCTGATATTCTTTTATCCCATGACATCCTCGATTGTAAAAACCTGGCCACATGCCTGCCTATAAAATACAACCTTATATAATGACATAAAGCTACATGAACACATTTTCTTTCCTTTATAAAGCTATGTAAGGCGCTTTTATAAGAAATAAAACCGACCAAGGGCTGTCAAGGACGGCAAATGAGTGAAATAAATACAAGACTTTCATCACACAAAGGACTAAAACTGTGTGTTGACTGGTTTGGACTGATGTAAGGTACATTTGAATGCATCGTGACTTCACGGTCGATTATACAGCAGGAAGCCTTGAAGGCTGCCAGGCCACATAACTCATGTTACGCTTGTATAATGGCGGCACAAAGGCCTTTTCTTTGTTGTTGTTGTTGTTGTTGCAGGTATTAAATAAACTCGCTGCTCTGAATTAGTGTGTGAGTTGTTCTAAATCACATAAAAGGTTCTAACTTTTAAAAATAATCATGAGAAGAGTTAGTACTACAGAGAAACTTCTCCAAGAAGTCATAAAATCTTTAAAAAATCGGGTTTTAAAACTCATTAACTGCAGCGAGAGTCCCCTCCTGAAGCACCTGAGCGTTCACCTGATTGAAACTTGATACAAACATGCACTAAGAGAGGACAATGGGGAGGCTGTAACCTTATTTCCTCCAGACTGCCATGATGAAATCCTGCAGACTGATGTGCCAATCGCTTCAAAACCGGCGGATGAGCCTTTAATATTGACAGAGGGGAGTTTAATCGGCTCTCCGGGTGGAAAACACACGCGCCGCCCTAAGATTCACCTCCCCGTGACTAAGTGAACTCTGATTTTCCATTTGAAGAAAAGCTCTCAACACGTCTGCCATTAAGAGTTGTAGTCAAATGTGGAAAATTCACAAAGTTATAACAAATGTTACTCCTCACTTTCACTCTTGTTTCCTTCGGGCATGAGTTCCCATTTCGTTTTATTCTTTATTGCTGGGATTGGTTGAGCGGCACGATAACATTTACCACAAAAAGAGTCAAATACTGTATTTCTCTTTTGTGGAAATTTTACTGGATTGCTGCTGCGCTTTCAATCACTTTGGCTCGTTCTCTAAAGATACAGTTTTTTTCTTCCTCCTCCGGTTTTACTTGAGTAAGTACATCAGGTAGAAAAAAAAGAAGAAAAATAGTCTTCGAGGGAGAAAAGTGAGAGGGAAAGGACAAAAAAAAAGAATGCTACAGAGAGTTTAAAACTAATACTCACATTTAACAGCACACACACACACACACGTCTACACATTCACTTCAGACTGTTGGGCCGCTTTGTGACTGGATATAAATCAAATTTTCATAACAGGAAATCTGCTATGGCATGACTGCACATCATCGTAATTCATTTAATGTTGGAGTAGACCTACTGGAGTGTCATCTTAATGTCCTATTAATACAAAGATGTATAAAAATACTAAATAATGGGGCGCTCACACCAAGTGCGAGTAAAATCGTCTGCACGCTTAATTTGCGCGAATCTAGACGCGTGAATGAATAGTATTTCCTCGCTTCATTCGCACGTCAATGGTGATTTCAAAGGTTATCCCTGCCAATTCAACCGGCGGGATCAAGTGATGGACGAAGGTTTTTCTACAATTTACCAGGTAATCCGACCTCCTTACTCCAGGACCTCCTCCACTTCCAGTTTCGGTAATTGAAAGAAAAGGTACCATATAATTCGGGGCACCAACACAGACACAATCAGTTTGTCCATTTTAGATACCAGTGAACGACCGTCCATTTTCATACGTCAACCTTTGTGCTGATAAGTTATCATAATGCTAATATTCGCGCAAGTTGAAACATTGTCATCTCCCACCCAATTCGTCTCATTCATTCCAGAGTTCTACGAGTGCTGACTTGACACGTAATTCAGTCGCACAAATGATTTTGCGCTTGGTGTGTGGAGACTGTAACAGTACCAAATGTAATTAGTATCAGTATATAATTGTATTGTAGTGCTTTACCCAGAAGATGGCGCCATGCTTCATTACAGAGATGCACCATTACGACTTTCAGCACAGCCACCACCATCATTAGCTGTCCTGATGCAACCCTGACTGTCTCTGAGGAAAATCATTCGCACAACTGAATTACATATTAAGTCAATGTAAAGATGTGATTAGAGGCTCTGGCAGCGCAAATGACGCAAATTGGACGAAAGATGAAAATGTCTCAACTTGAGTGGATTTTCCCATCATGATAATGGATAATGGTTGTTCACTGGTATCTAAAATGGAGGACAAACTGATCGTGTCGGTGTGTGGGTGCCCAGAATTATATGATACCTTTTCTTTCAATTTCTGAAACTGGGATAAGAAGAAGCTCGCCTGGAGTGAGGAGGTCGGATTACCTGGTATATTGTAGAAAAACCTTTGTCTATCACTTGATCCCGCCGGTTGAATTGGCAGGAATTACCGTTGAAATTACCGTTGACGTGCGAATGAAGCGAGGAAATACTGATCATTCTACATCTGGATTCGCACGAATTAAGTAAGTAGATGATTTCACTCGTGCTTGGTGTAAGCGCCCGGTTACTTGCTGTGTTACTTGCTGTGTGTGACCAATGGCCTCTAAAGGAAGCAGACGTGACTGATGCGAACTATTAAGTAAATAAACTCTAGTATGGGGCGCTGGTTTGATTGAAAAAGACTCCTCAAGACCAGAAATGGGGTCTGCACAACTCTGCAAACTGGTTGCAAGCTGTGGTTGTGTTACAATAATTAAGGCTACCATTGGTTTGGCTCAATGACAGCAAACAGGACTGCAGGTAAGACCACCAAACATCTACAAATCAGCTGATAGACAACGGCGCAACATCCATTCTTAATCCAGAAGTTTGTAGTTGAGACATCTTGAAGTAAAAGAAATATCAAACTTTATTTTGACTTGATTCTCCTGATTTGGTCCTGATCTAAACAGAATTATTAAGGCCCATCAATCTCAGACTGAACACAGTGAATCAGCCTGATTTTGTAACCATTAGTCATTTGCAGTGAGAGATAAGTGCTCCAGCTATATTTCTGATGGAAATACACAAGAATCAAACCAACAGCTTGTCAGGTTGACAGTAAAGGACACTTCACTCCCCGCTGCCCATAACAGTCCCTTCCTCCAAATCTAGCTCACCATCGTACGACAGAGAAGACGCATATGGTGGACGAGTTGAAGACAGATGCACCGTGTGATGGTCGTGCGGATTGCACAGCCAAAAGATCCGGCCAAAGAAGGAATAAACGCTCACATGCGTAGGTTCACAAATCTGACAGGGACAGAAAAGCTCCAGAAATCAGAGAGAGAGAAAAAAAAGCAGCAGCTCTGAGTGAGATGGCAGGGTGAGAGAAAATAAAGATGCCTCAAATTGAAAACATCACATTCAGATGCAGGGTGGTAAACAGTCCCAGTCTGGGCTCTGATTTGCTTTTGTTTGCTCCAAGGTGTGAAATCCTCAAACCAGGCGTATGAACTGTATATCACTGTAAATACAAAGACCTGTGTCTGTTTTATCTTCAGCTGTGAGAGCAGGAGCATGATGATCCCATAAAGCAACAACACAGCCACAGAGAGGAGGAACAAGGTGTAAGAAGCTCCAGAAGAAAACGTCACGGAATCTGTTTGTATTTACTATGAACAGAAACATCCAGACTGGGTTTTTGCTTCTCTTTCAAACATCTATTTATGTCACTCTGACCAGAATTTATGGGAAAATTAAAGCTACACTACAGTAGTAAAATCAGAACTATGGTGGCCCTGAAGGATCAAACACAAAAACACTTCAAAGGGCAAAAATATTTAAAGAAATAGAAGAACAACTAACAAAATGCCAAAACTACATTATAAAATGAAAAGATAGTTTTCTGAAATTTAAAGTTTTAATCGGGAGAATTAAAAAAAAAAAGAGAGTGCAACATTTTTTTTTTTTTAAAAAGCACAAACATTTCATTAAAGGTAAAAACTTTTTACAAAAATGCAGAAATATTTTATGAATTACAAAACGATTTAAAAACAAAAATATTTTAAAAATAGTGTAAGATTTCCGTGATGGATAAAAATTCTTTGGAGGTTTATAAATCAAATTAAAGGGATATTCCGGCATAAAATTAATTTAGGTTTCAAACACACACAGAGATTAATATTGCTGACCGCTTCATCGTTCATTTCTTTATCATTTCCTTGAAGCAATAATCACCATATTAATCATTTTGCTCTGCAGACGCAGTAGTTCTCCTGCCGTAGCATCTCAGTCTGAGTACATTTCCATGAAGAAATGATCATAAATGTTCTTCCTTGAGCTGCGTCACCCCGCTGTAGTCCGTAAGGGCCTGAGATCTCGCTACAAATTAGCGGCTGCTGGAAGAGTAGGTGAGTTGTGTTGAGTCTCTTTGCTAAAGAAATTAGGCAATAAAAAAATGTTTGATGGCTAGTACTATGGCTGGGACCCTATATATATTGTTGATGAAGGTAGGTGCTGTTCTGAGCATTATTTGTGGCTATAGAGTGGTGTTTTGGTTGAGCGCGTGGGTCTCTGTATTGCTATCGGTCGTTACTAAAGTTGGTATAACTAAAGAAGCAAGCGGTCGGCAACATTCATCTCTTGAGTGTCTAGCTTAGTGTTATGGTGTGTTTGAAGCTAGATTAATTTTGTGCCGGAATATCCCTTTAAAATGCAAACTAGACCATAATTTATTATACTGTGATTTTAAAGTCTTAAACTCATGCCAGCCAAGTGTCTAAAGACTCATAAAATATTCACAATAACTGATAAATCTGACAGAAGGATGAGATTTATGTCCTAAAACACTGCTTAAGCATTTAAGACAAGACTTGCAGAGACTGCTTTGTCCACAGGAGGCGCCAAAGTTAACATAAACATAATGCAGAGTGTTTTTCCACCGTTAAATATTTCTATTTTCTGAATCCTGTTTGCACATCATGAAACGATTTATAATTAAATGAAATGCTTTGGTGTTTTTTTTTCACAGTTCCTATTTTTTATTTGCCTCACATGCCTCGAATGTTTTGAACAGGATTGTTGGACAAAAACGAAGCTCTCACAGCACGCCGGTTTTCTAACAGCTGAGCAGTGACCTGGTCTGTGTGGGATCACTGTTTTCATGGTGGCACGAGTGTCTCCTGCTGACTTTGGAGGAGCGCCTTCTGCACGCGGCGAGCTCGCCCCCGCGGTGTCTGTCGGCAGTGCATCACGTACAGTACATGATCCGGGGAACTTTCAGATACACGGTGTGAGAGCTTGTCTAAAGAAGTGTACATCACACACCTGTGACCTGCTGTCTGCTTGTGAACGCCGCCCCCTGAGGTAGCTATTATCCATGGTTCACTGTCTGCTCAGCTCACATGGAGATGGAGCACTAAATCGTCCCATTGTCCTAGCGATGTGGGGTGTCACTTTAATGGATGTCCCTCAATGAATCTTCCTGGATCTCCTTTGATGGAAATTGAGTGCCACACTTAGTCTGCATGGGTGACATTGTCCTTTTCATGCCGCGGCAGGCTGGATCAGAAAGACTCAAAGTAAATATGTAGATTCTCAGCGACTACAAAGAGCCGGCTCCTGCTTGATCTCGGCTGTCAGCGGCCTCTGCAGCCTATTTGGGTTCAGCTGAAGTGGCCAGACGTGGTTTTTATTCTTAAAAGGAAGACTGACAGCTTCGCTACAGACCTGAGTGCGAATACCCCGCCTGATTGTCAGTCTCCAGCTCTCAGTGACACCAAATCCTCTGAAAAAGTGCCGCCTGTCAAAACAGTCGATCTGCGTCTGGGGAGTGTGAGGGCAGAAGGTGAGAGGAAATCCCTGCGACTATCACTTCAGGTCATGTCAGTGACAGGGACTTACGCTATCTCGTTACACAGCTGTTCTCTATGCTGCACACATATTTAAAAAGACACCTGAGCTCTGCACCTATCCTACGCAGTGACACCTCTGTGAACTCTCCCAGATTTACTAAACGATGAATAAACTCCCACCTGGAAATTACGTGCAAAACACCCAAATATACACAAGTGTAGTCTTCATAGTTAGATCTTAATTTTGTTTCAGCAGAGCGTCTTCAGGGTTCAGTGTGGGAGCACTAAAGCCTCTTTGATTACAGCTGGCCATAACTGGACTTATAAATTTCTATAATTACCTTACATTAGTCATCGTTTTTTATATCTTTTATCTGCTCCACCACTCTGGAGCACTTGAAGACAAGAGGAGAGTCAAGGATGAATGATTTCCACAGCTGTCTCTGATGTGCTGACGAACTTTCCACAGCCACAGTTACGTGTCAGTCCTGAATGAGTCATCTATAAGATGTTTTGTCCTTAAAACCAATCAGATAAAGGATTTTTGGTAACCCTTTCTTTTACAGTACACTTATTACCGGGTAATTAACATTACATGAAATACTGTCTAGCTACCAGGTAGGTAACCTTCCATCATCATACAAATTTGAAGTCGAATTGCTCTGGTATTTCCAGGATTTTCTCCACTTCCTGAAACCACCACTCGTGCAGTAGTGTTGAACGCATCCGGCGGGTGAGTCGCTGTGATGACGCTCGGCTCAAACAGCGTATCGCTACGCAATCTTCGCACGCCCATAGGCTGTATCAAGTGTCAATCATAGAAAATAAGAACCCAAATGGCTTTTGAAAATGGAGCTGCACAGAAAAAAGAAAAAAAGAAAAACTAGACAGTATTGACTTAGTAATTATCATGTAATTACCAGATAATTTCGTGTTGTTATTAGGTAATTACCTGTTAATTACCTGGTAATAAGTGTACCATAAAAGAAAGCGTTACTGGATTTTTTAATCCTCTTTTTGTTTAGATTGATACTTAATACCACCTATAATACACAGTCAGAGTAATAACCAGATCAGAGCATGAAATTACCAAATTCTGGACATGGAAATCTTCAGGTTTTTTTAGATTTTGCTTTAGGGTTGGGCGATATGGCCTCAAATCAATATCACAATGTATTGATCAGTTCACCTCGATAACGATAAATGGACGATAACTACTCCACAAGCTGCTCACCCCCTCCCACATTAACTTCGTCTACTTCAGCCATTATAACTTTTGAACCGTCCTCCATCTCCTCACCTGTCTTTCCCTCTTTGTTACGGACTGGATGGGGTGGAGTCACGTCTCTGATGTAGGACAGTGTCTTAAAAGGACATGAGACCATAGCCTACCTACTAACATCCAAAACCAACTTTTATTTATCTAGTTATTTTGACACAGAATATATTGACATGGGCAAATTGATGACGGTTATTGTTGTAAATTTAGATAGCAGTAAATTTTTGGTTTATCGGCCAGCCCTATTTTGCCCTCATATCCTCCTGCACAATTGTACAGCCCTCCTCTGCAATCTGGTGTGCATTTTGTTGAGGTTCATTCTATTCATACTGTTTTTAATTGTTTCATTTTCTATTTAGTTCCTAAACTGCAAGAATAAAGTCATTAGGTCAAGAGATTAAAGCCATATTATCAAACTTCAGCAGCGCATAATACCCTTAAATGTGTGCAGAAATGTGTTCTTAGTTATTAAATAAATCTACATATTACAAAGTGACAGGCAGTGGATTGTTGGACTGCATTTCTCCCCACACAGACTGTTTTTCTGCAGAATTGAATCCAACTGAAATGGCATTGGACGATTGCACTTGGATGTAAAACCATGAAGTCTACGCTGCAAAGAGAAAAGCAGAAAACCTTCATTTCCACTGCGTGCATTTGCACGAACAGATTCTGGATGTCTATTCAAAAAGGAATGAGGATGACCCCCAAACATGCAAACATTAACTACTCAACTTGTGAAACTTTTTAAAAGGAGTGAGGAGATTTTTAGATTTGGCAAAAACCTCTAAGCGATTCGAGCGGCGTACACGCACAATTAAAAGGTCCTAAATGGTTCAAGTTTGCTTCAAAATGAGGCAGAGGTGGTACTAAACGATGCTGCTTGGAGCCAAAAGACTCGGCTTTTGTTGCTAAGCTGCGCCAAATGATGTTTCTCACAATAAAAGAGCCGGCAGCTCATTATTCAGCTTTGTATGAAGACTGTAAACAAAGTAGGAGCGAGAGCTCTCAAGCAATATGGCAGAGACTGAGAATCAACAACCCTGAGCCACGCTACTCTGGACACGTTTCAGAAACTCCTCCACTGCTCCTCTTAATGATATCCTCTTTAAGTTACAGCAAACTGTTTTGAATGAGGCAGAAAATACACCAAGATGTGTCGACATAACAATCGAAAACTGCCTACAATGCCTCTCATTAACAAAGGAGTTGTACTTTCTGACAAGCCTGGAAAATTTAGCACTTACAAAAACAAAACACATCAACACAACTTTACCGACTTCTTCTCCGCTTTGAAATCACATCTAAAGACCTGCACTGCTTCACTCTGGAGACCCACAGTAACTAAATCTGTCTCACGAATGTCAAAGTGAATATAAGTATGCAACGCGCCCGGCAGGAAGCTGAGACTCACACTGTGTTATAGAGCTGTAAAGAATTAATTTGCACTTAGCACAGCATGGAGCTATAGCATAATTGTTCCTTAAAAACTGTCTCTTCATTACGGCAGTCAGATTTCAGGCCATTATGATGATGAACATGTGGAGCCTTACCCTGATTTATGTTTCCTGATAATAAATGATGAGGCATTACTTACTCGCTGTAGTTGTAAACAGAAGAGGAGGTGATGGTGATGGAGGTGTGTAAAGTGCTCTGTGGTAATCAGGCTGTTATGGAGACTTTTTTTTCTCAATCTACAAACATCCCTCAAAATTGTGTCTATCATGGGGCTGCTTGATTTGAATAACTTCTTCATAGGTTAATAGCATAACCTGAAAATCAAACCTAAAATGCACGAAAAGCGTGCAAAGGGAAGCCCAAACTGGGTATACCTGTTCATATTTAAGAGTCTTGGCTAAGACAAACATGAGGTGCGTAAAAATAATCATGATATGGTGGAATAAGAATGATATGTTTATGTTTGGGTGTAACAACTTCCATCTTGCTTTCGTTTCACTTGAGAAAATATAAGGTCATCCAGGCTTTGATGTCACTTAGACATGCTCGCTGTAGGGCCGAAGAGTAACCGCCTCTCTTTTTCAAGGGCAAGTACAGTCATGTGTCATCAGCATAAAAGAGGAAAACGACTCCACATGATCTAAGAAGAACCTTCAGGGGAAGCATATGCAAAGAGAAGACTATGGGACCAAGTCTAGCGCCTTGGGGGACTCCACTTTAGAGAGCGGTTTATCAGGATGTGAAGGAGGAAAAAACTATCTGTTTGCAGCCCGATGTGATGCAAATGCAAGACTGCATGGTCAGGTATAGACTGACAGATCTGTGATCTTTTTCCACATATTAGCTTAGATTTATTTCTAAGATGCCTGTTTTTATAGTTTCTATCTGTATTGTTGTTGATATGCTCTGTGTGTTTTATTCCCATTATTGATGTTTGTTTTGATTTTATGTATTGACACCAACCTGCCAATAGGACTTGGAATGGAAATTAGCTGATGGCTATAGTCAAGATGGCCGCCCCTACAGGAGACTCCAGGTCAGGATCCAGCAGGCTAAGAGACAGTTTCTTTCACAGAGCAGTCACTCTCTTAAACTCTCACCCCTTTAAAGCACACTAATGACATTTAGTTAATTGTATGTAATGTAATTAATGTAAATATTGACAATAGCAACTTCATACCATCTCATCTATATATTTTTCTATGTTGTAAATATTATCTGATACTTGCACTATTGCACTTCTGGTTAGGTGCTAAACTGCATTTCGTTGCATTGTTCTGAACAAGTGTAATGCCATTAAAGTTGAATCTAATCTAATCCCATGCATTTACATGTAAATGTTCATCAATGCATATTGTCCCATTAAAATACTAAAAATCCGAAATCCTGAAATGCAATAGAAAACAAAATCTTTTGGGAGTTAAATTTTAGGATATCCTGTCTTAGTTTACAGACACCTCAAAAACACACAGACCTATGATCATTAAACATATGTTCTTTGTTATACTGTGAGGGTAATTTATTGTATTATTATATCACATTTGCGTTACATTTACATTTTCTAAAGAAGAACTGTAAAAGTTAAACTGAATAGGTTTAAAAAGTGCTATTTCTTTACTCCAGGGCGTGTTTAAAGAGTAGACCCTAAGGCTTATTCAAAGGGAATACTCTGGGACCGAGTATGGAGCCTTGTGGTACTCCATAGAATATTGTGATTAAGTGTATAGATCAGTTACACTCGTGATGGAAAACTGGTCTTTTTGAACCACATGGAATAATAATAACGCTTTAATTTAAGCAATATTCTCTTTACTAAGCCTTAGTCTTTCTAATGAATGCATTAAAACACAGTCACATACATTCATGCGCTGATGGAAACAACTTGAGGCAAAGTTGTATGAAAAGTCCGTGAACTACGCCGCAAACTTTCAGGAAAAAGGACGACCCGTTTGACCTCTTGAGACTGATGTAAAAACAGCAGCATCAGTCCAGCAAATACCAGATGATATATGTTTTAAATCAGCGGCTTTTAGGACATATGCAGACCCTGTCTGGTTTAACGAGATCAGCTGCCCTCATTTAGTCGAATGAGGCCAACACAGCGGGGTGCCAACACAGGGGGGTCTTCATCAAAAACATATTGGATCATTACAGAAATATTGCAGCGCAACGTTATCAGGGAAGATCCAGCTGTGGCAGATTAAATCAATAAAAATGCATCACTATGGAGGGAGAAAATCAAGGAAGCTACGCTCATAGATGTAAATACTGACCCCTTACACAAACTGAGCTTGCTTGACCGAATTAGATCAACGCGACTCAACCATTCAACCTGGTGCATTGTTATAATGCGGGGCTATTCACCAGCTATGAATGATGACTCCTCTCTGTTGAAGGAGAAAGCAGTGAAGGATGTAGAGTCACAGAGTTTACTAAAGGAGGACCAAGGGGCAGTGTGAGGGGTAATCAAAATGTCAGCCTGACACAGGGGATCGCTGCGTCCTCTCAACCATGACTGGAATACTGACTAGATGAGGAGGAGGAGGAGGAAGACTGAATTTATAGTTCAAATATGGCATGTTGAAGAAACCTTGGCTTCAATGAAAACTGAATTAGCTGCAGAATCTATGTAACCAGATGGAAAAATGAGTTTCTATCTCACTTGAGTTTATGGTTTTGAGTCTTTTTAAATAAAATGTGAAGGTCATTGGTCGACTGTGGTTAGGGGTTGCCTCCACTTTCGAATCGATCGATCGATCAAGCTTAATCTCTGTCACACAATAAAACAAGAAAAGCAAAAAATGATGACAAGGTGGAGGGAGAATGGAAATAGAAATGGATTTAGTATTACACCTCGGTAGATATGGAGGCGTATTGCATTCACTTACAAAAAAATTAAAAAGGAAACTTTTTTTAGTATTTTTTTTTTCTTTGCTGTTTTTCTGATGAATTTTTCTTCTGTTTTTGCGAACTAATATTTTTCCCCTCTTTCTGTTTTTTGGACAAATTTTTATTCTGTTTTTCATACAATTTTATTTTGTTTTGTTTTTCTGACTATATTTTTTGAAGAGGGAGATACTTCAAAATCCTGTGAGAATCTTATACAGTCAGCAGATTCTCCAGCTCCTCAATAACTTCGACAAAGGAGTCAAAGAGAGTAAAGCATGTTATTAGTTAAACATAATAAACATAAGGGTATGCAAGAAAATTTATGATGATTACATCTATCTGACTTAAAGAAAGGAGGATCTCCTAGTGTCTTAAACCCAAAAGAAAGTAAAACTTGATTAAACTAAACAAGTGGGCCATGTTTGCTTCCAATAAATCGAGCAGAGGGGGATGAAAGAGTCTGTTATGAATGATCATGATCCCAGAGAATAGGAAAACAATTAGTCTGAAAAACAAAACAAAAAAAGTCCAAAAAAGAAAAAAAAAAACTGCTCTAAAAAATTGCTTTTTTTTTTATTTTAGTGAATGCAATAGACTTCCGTAGGTAGACATCTAAATAAAGAACGGAAAAAAAAAAATTACTGGGAAAAAAATCCAAGGTAAACACCAGAACACGAGGGGACCCAAAATAGAGCCAGGAGGAACTCCGCATGGACGCTTTGATGATTGGATGCTGATTTTGTTATGATCAAGTTATGAAATCCTCTCCTGTTAGTCGAATAATTTACTTCTAATTCTACAAGCTCAAGATAAGCTGTTACATCATAGTTTATTTACATAATACATTTAAGTTTATGATTGAAAATAGGAATTTATCAGGAGGTTACAGGAGTTACAAAAGGTTGAGTAAAATGCTCCCTCTCGCATTTGTCCACATGAATCATCAGTTCAATGAAAACAGCAGTTTTACCTAGCAAAGGGTGTAACGTTATGAAAAGTAACATGAAAAATTCAATATAGTTAAATTAGTTATAAAAGAGATAAAGACAAAAACGATAAAAATGGAAAAAGGCACCAAAGCTAGAAGTTAACATGAGTAGCTCAATGACGGAAGATGAGCTTTAAAAAGCCCAATATTCAGAATTAGGTTGTCATGTGTGAGCAGATGACCCGCCATGTTTGTGATGAGCTGAGGACTGAACCCCCCATGATTGATGAGAACTATCTGCGGATGTCGGGGCACACTCAGTGGAAGCTGTTCGGTGAAGCTCGTGGTGGTGGAGAGATGAGTCACAGAGCTTCAGTTCACTGATCAACACCTCCGCCTCGGCCCCCCCGGCTCTACTCCACACACATACGCACCATCGTGTCAATCTGTCAGTTACAAATGGGGTGAAGAGGAGGGGGGATGTGCAGAGCTAGCAGAGACGACCCCCGCCTGCACTGGCTTTGTGTGCACCATCGAACCTGACTGCACAGGCTGCACAGAGGCTTATATACAGTATATTCACCTGTGTCGCCTTTTAACCTGAAGATGGCTGTGATTTTAAACCAGAGGCTGTTTGGTGTTTAAAAAGTGTTCGTGAAATAACCCGGAAATCTATGTTGGTACAACACAAGAGTTAATTTTGACATATTGCTTTAGGAATGTACTGAACAACACAGAGACTGAGCACAAAATCTACAGATCAGAAATACTTATCACACTCTCAGCATTCACACGCTTACAGGCATCTGATTGAGGTTGGAACCGACGCATTATTGTTTTACACCTATAATGTAAAGATGTGAAGTAGGCCTCAAATCAATATGATGATATATTGATCAGTTCACCTTGGTAACAATAAATGGACGATAACTACTCCACAAGCTGCTCACCCCCTCCCACATAAACTTCGTCTACTTCAGCTGCTACAACTTCTGAACCGTCCTCCATCTCCTCACCTGTCTTTCCCTCTTTGTTACAGACTGGATGGGGTGGAGTCACGTCTCTGATGTAGGACAGCGTCTTAAAAGGGACATGAGACCATAGTCTACCTACACACATCCAAAGCCAACTGTTATTTATTTATCAATTTTGACCCTGAATGTATCGATATGGGCAAATTGACGTCTGTCATTGTCGTAAATTTTTGTATCGATAAATTTTCAGTTTATCGCCCAGCCCTACTGTGAAGCCCTTTGTAGTCAGCTACAGAGGAGAGGAAAACTTCCTTTAACAGGCAGAAAACTCAAGCAGAACCAGACTGATGTTAGACAGTCATCTGCTGAGACCGAGCCGGGTTTAGAGAGGAGAGATGGAGAGAGGAGAGACTGATGCATGTGATGGGTTCAAATGTTATTTTAAGGATAACAAATTATTGGTTTTGGAGAGTTACTTAAATTAAACACCCCTTTGTTTTTGTGAATGTATTTACCTCATGGTTTAACGTCATTTTTAATCCCATCCCTGATACGAGCTCCACAACGAGACAAAGACTAAAGTCCAGGGTCATTATTATTCAAGTCTTTTTTCTTTGAATATTGTCTCTTTTTTTTCAGCTTATTAGCACATCATAAAAACAACAACAAAGAGTAATAAATGCTAAAACACCACGCAAGATGCTTCCCCTCAAGGATAGATAAAAGATATAATAAGCAGCGATACAGATCATTATGATCTTGTAAATATGTCGTATTATCACAATATTAATGCATCATGAGATTTTTTTCCTTTTACTTTTTAAAGGAACAGTCTGTGATTTCGGGAGTTACACCCGATCATTTTGCAGCTTTAGTCTAATAAACTGATGGGTTGATTTCATTGTGATCATTAAGGTGATAATTGGAACAAACACAACAGTCTCCTGGTAGCACTTATCCTGCTGCAAATCCATATTTAATATTTAATATGTACACTTATACACATGCAGTATGTTTAAAAAGTCAATTCCCATTTGCATAACTAATAATAACCTACTGTGACTATAATTTATCTACTGTTGATCTTGGCAGTGTGTGTGATATGGTAATGCATGTGGAGGTATGAGCTGCATGCATGTCATCCCTCTGCAGGCAGAAGTGATTGCTACAGTAATTCACCTTGAAATGTTTACTATAGGAGGAAAAAAACATCACAAATTATTGAAAATAATACAATA